ATCCAGTCGGTTGCCGGTGGCCGTTGGCCACCAAATTTTTGGGGCTTGTTTGTCTCGTCGCGGTTGTCACGGATCTATACTCCGTTTAGTCAAGGGACGCTCCGATCGTCGTGAAATGGCTAAAGACCGCTCGTCTTTTTCAGGCTTCGATCTCCTCCGTCCATCGGTGGATCTGGCCCAAATTTTAGTATGTTATTCCCCTCTTCGAGACGCTCCTTCTCACTATTTGGATCGGCGAACCGACCATCCGAACGCCGGCGAGGTTCCGGTAGAACGGTAAAATGCCTTTTCCCTTTTTTTTTTGTTATTTTTATGTTTCGAAAGCTAATAAAAAATAAAACAAAACGTAAATACCAAAAAAAACTTTAAACTTTTTTTCTGCTTTTCTTGATTTTCCAATGGGAATGGAACTCCCACGAAAAACCAAAAACAAGGAAAAAAAGAAAGGAAAAGGAAAGCCCAAAAATGGAGCCAAAATACAGAGAAAATAAAAGTCAAAAAACTATTTTTCATTCAATTATCGGGAAAAATTCCTTCTCTTTGATACATGGGGTTGGAGTATTAATAACCCCAACTACTATATATTATAATCGTTTTTTACAAAAGCTATTTTTTCATTCCATTTTCGGCGGAAAAACGAGTGTAATTGATATATGGGTGGTTGGGCACTTATTCCTGCAGGAAACATGGGATGGTGGAGTGGGTGGAAGATAGTGGTAGGGTATGGAGGATAGAAAAATAGTGCTTACAACTGCCCTTCTTTTCTTATTGCTATGAAACAGGAATGGAGCAAAGATAATAAAGCACCATTTTTCATCTTAGTCTCTTCTTGTCACGCTGCGAACTCTTCACTGAGGAATGTCAATTCTTCCCTTTCTGTGAAATCGTCGAGTCCTAGCTGCAAAATATGTCATCTTTGCTTCGTTCTTTTGGTTGAGTTTTTATCTTCATTTCTTTAAGTCGTGGGTTCCTCTCATCATGATCTTTCTATTGGAAATGTTGATTCCTTGAGTGAGGTGTTGCTGGTTCAACTCCATATGTAATGAATCGAGCAAGACTGAATATGTTGATGATGCTCATCCAACTCCGTATGCGATGGATGAGCAAAATAAAAATGTCGATCCACTTCCTTCTATGATGGAATCGAACGAGATGTCAGTGCTAATCTACCTTTTTCTGTGATAGAATCGAGCAAAAAGTTGATGCTGATCCAACTCCTTCTGTGATGGATTTGAGCGAAAAAAGGTTTATCCACCTTGTAACACCCATAATCTGTATAATTATACCTATACAAATTATAAATGTCACCCGAATTTCTAAAACCATTTTCAAATTTTAAGCGATTAAAAAATTATTTTATTAGAATGGTAACTGATAATATAAAAATATCATATCATATAAATTATGTTTCGCTATAACAACTTTAACTCAAAAGATTTTTTTTATGAATAGTATCGTGAATAATGAAAAATGGGGGTATCGGTACCTGTAGCATGGTATCGGTACCCCTATAGCATTATGGAAAATTTTTAAACGTGGGTATTGTTTATTACTATTCACAGCTACAGTAAACGCTACAGTTACTAATCACTGCTACAGTAAATTAAGCAATATATATATAAAACTCATAAAAACTTAACCTTTCTCCACTATAAAGTTACCATTTTGTTTCCAAATTTGTTCAACAAAATAAATCGAACATTATTAATTATATGCCACTATCTAATTCAAATTCCATCATAGGATGTCTTACTGATATTGAAATATACTCCATGAAGCTTGATGTCCCTTTGAACTCTTTATTTCACTACTGGCTTTTTACCTACGCATGAAAATCATCAGACACTAAGTATATACTTAGTGAGGCAATTAAAACAATAAACAGTGCAATACAATTCATGCATGAATTTCAATGTCAAATTCAAAATGCCATAAACCATTTATTCCATAAGCTCGTAAGCTTATTTACCAATATACCATAAACCATTTATTCCATAAGCACGTAAGCTTATTCGCCAGTTTATCATTTATTAACCAATAAACCATAACCCAAAGTATAACTGTATAAGGAACTCGGTATAGGAGTCAAATATTACACAAAAGTGCTGAGGTCAAGCATTGCTCACCTAATAATGCACCGTAGTGTTGAGGTCGAGTTTTATCCACCTTGTACACCGTAGTGATTTGTACCGTTTCTTCACTAAACACTTTGAGGCCTGCACTATGTGCCTTCTATAGACACTCTAGTGCTACCTAATATGCAGCTGCTAGACTCTATGGCATGCTAATAATACCATTGATCCTCAATAACATACTTGGGCATGTAGTCTATTTTTATTTGATCCATCCATGGCAAAGTATATCAATATCATTTAACATTGGGCAATTCATACCTGAAATAATATTCATGTAAAATATCACATTTTTCATGATTAATGCATTATAATTTCACACTATGACATATCAATGTCATATAGAAGTTATAAAAATGACATAATATCATGCTGATATAAACAAGGTTGACTTATCGCAAGTCTTCCTGATGATGTATAAAACATCCATGTATAATTTCACTCATGTATTGCACTCACCTTGACACTTTATAAAATCCAAAATATGTGCCTCACTATGTTCCACAATAAACCCTTTTTATACTTGACTTGCTTCAATCGCAAATCAATCATGATCTATATAAATCACAAATTCATAATGATACATATGTTAGTATTATACTAACATAAACATATCCCAAAATAATTCCATAATATACTTGAAATTCATTTTCCATCAAAATACTCAATACTTAATAATTCCTTTTAACATTGGAACCAACTTTTCAAATTTACACAAAATGGTCTTTCACCATTTTATCACTTAGATTCTTAATACCAAAAATTCTAGCAATGAAATTATTACCATTCAATTGCTTTTACAAAGGCTTAATTACATTTAAGTACCCCAACTATGTGAAGTTGTACTTAAATCACCAATCTTTTCAAACTTTCAAAATAGTCATAATTAACATCCAACACTCATTCAATTCCAAAACAACATTTTCTAGTGTAGTACATCAACTATTAAACAATTATACAACCATTCATAACTTTTCCAAAGTTATCAAATTGGTCCCCCAACTTTTCAAAATTTACAAAATGGTCCTCAAATTTTTCTAAGGCTTGTAGAATACTTTATACATCATTTCCAGACCTTATATAATTTTTCTCATCCTTTAAAACCAATGCCTAATGGTTTAAAGTCCCAAAACTAGGTTTTTCATGATTTTGCTCGATTTTGATTCGATTCAAGCTTGAAATCAACTTTCAATCAACCTTATAACATCTTTACAATCAAATATCTAATCAAATCTCATCAAAACACAAAGTTCTACAATTTCCTCTTTTGATCGAATTTTAAAGAATTATTTATAGGAAGATTGAACATGTTATAACCATAAATCAAACTTGAAAATAAATCTACAACTTCAAAAATCTCAAGATTCATCATCAATTTCATGAACCCTATCATGAACATAAACCCTTAGATTTGGGATATTTGAAATCCAGCAAGATTAGAAAGAACTATTGATGCCAAATGATAGCGTTTTTCACGTAGATCACTTTCCTATTTCATGGCATAACCCGAATTCCAAAGGAATTGACTCAAAAATGGAAAATAAAATATTTTTCCTTACCTCCAAGCTATCTCACGTCCTTTGCTGGAGAAGATGAACATCTTGCCATGATATTTTTATTGATATCATGCTTATCATCCTTTAAAATAATATTTACTTCATTAACTTGGGAAAATGCCAATATACTCTTAATGAAACTTCATAATTACCATAGAACCTAGATACTTATCCTTATCATCTTCCAAATCAGAGAAATATCAGCCTTATCATCTTTCAGTAGTCAAAGATGAACAAATAATTTTCCACTTTACCGTTTTGCCCTTACAATTTCCAAAAATTACAATTGAGTCACCTTAATCCAACGTTCCAAATTAAACATGGAATTAAACTATTAAATATTATTTTCCAACATTTTAAAATATGAAAATAATATTTTTAATTTCTTATTTTCGTGACCCATTTGTAATTTTCCAAAATTACATTTTGGTTCCTGAACTTTTCAATGTTTATACTTTGGTCATCAAACTTTACCAAATTTATAATTTGGTCACTAAATAAATCCATTTATGGAATAAAATTCTTTTTGGGAAAATTACCACTTAATTCCTTAAACTTTTCCCAAATTTTCTACTTTGACCATCAAACTTTCAAAATTTATATTTTGGTCATTATCTAAATTTTTGGGGTATTACACACCTCCTTCTGTGATGGAATCGAACGAGATGTTGGTGCTGATCTACCTCCTTCTGTAATAGAATCGAGCAAAAAGTTGATGTTGATCCAACTCCTTCTGTGATGTATTTGAGAGAAATAAAAATGTCGACCCACCTCCTTCTGTGATTGAATCGAACGAGATGTCAGTACTGATCTACCTCATTATGTGATAGAATTGAGAAAAAAGTTGATGCTGATCCATCTCCATCTGTGATGGAATCGATCGAGATGTCATTGCTGATGTATCTCCTTCTGTGATAGAATCGAGCAAGAAGTTGATGCTGATCCAACTCCTTCTGTGATGGATTTAAGCGAAATAAAAATGTCGATCCACCTCCTTCTGTGATGGAATCGAACTAGATGTTGGTGGTGATCTACCTCCTTCTGTGATAGAATCGAGAAAAAAGTTAATATTGATCCAACTCCTTATGTGCTGGATGAAAATGTCAATCCACCTCCTTCTATGATGGAATTGAACGAGATGTTGGTGCTGATCTACCTCCTTCTGTGATAGAATCGAGCAAAAAGTTGAACAAGTTCTTCTCATTATGAACTTCTTCTCCTTCATCAGATAAGTTTTTCTCATTCGGAACTCTCTACTGGAAATGTTGATGCAAGGTTGAACAAGTTCCTCTCATTATGAACTTCTTCTTCCTCATCGGATGAGTTCTTCCCATTATGAACTTTCCATCAGTAATGTTGATCAGTTTATATTCTCCTTGAAATTTTAAAACCTGCAAAAGATTATCATGTGTCAGTAATAATTGTGTTTGAAGTACCCAAAGGTATTGACCAAAAGGTACTCAAATTTTGTTGAGATCCATTTCTTTCAATGGTGAAAAATATGGGTTAATTCTCTTAGTCTTGAAATGAAATCTTTGTTGACTTTGGAATTCTTGTCATGTATTCAACATCTGGATGAAAATGAATAAGAAACATGTTCTAAGAGAAGCTCTTTCGAGTGATATAAAATTTCTTGTTTCAAGGGAAAATTGTCTCAAGCGAGACGAAGTTGGTTTTAAGGAAAACCATCTCAAGTGTGGTACATTTTATTGTTTCAAGGGAAAACTGTCTCAGGAAGACAAAACTTGTTTCAAGGGAAACTATCTCAAGGGAGACAAAACTTGTTTAAAGGGAAACTGTCTCAAGGGAGAAAAATTATTTTTCAAGGGAAACTGTCTCAAGAGAGTCAAAATTTGTTTCAAGGGAAACATTCTCAAGAGAGACAAAACTCTCTTAAAGGGAAACTGTCTCAAGAGAGACACAACTTGTTTCAAAGGAAACTGTCTCAAGAGAGACAACATTTGTTTCAAGGGAAACGTTCTCAAAGTTTATGTTTCAAGAGAAACTGTCTCAAGAGAGACAAAACTCGTTTCAAGGGAAACGATTTCAAAGTTTATATGTTTCAAGGGAGACTGTCTCAAGAGAGACAAAATTTGTTTCAAGGGAAATTGTCTCAAGAGAGACAAAACTCGTTTCAAGGGAAACTATCTCAAGTGAGACAAAATTAGTTTCAAGGGAAACAGTCTCAAAGGTGATGGAGAGTCTGCTTGTTCCTGAATGTTAAGGAAATCCTTTCAGAAGATCTGATCGTTGACTTAAGGAAGTCAAATCTGTGGATGGCATTGCTCTTTCAGGTTGAAGATATATGGTCATTTCTGAGCTTTTATTTCCTGAAAGATCAAAATGATGTATTTATGACTGCCTATCTTGTATGTTTTCGGGTGTCATGATGCAATTTATTTGATGTGTTATTGAATTTTTCCTAAGAGAGGGGAAATCAAAGTTTTTATTGCAAATGGTGATGAATGTTTGATACAAAGATGCAAATTCATGTGTGTGTAATGCATGTTTTTATTTATTAATAACAGTGAAAAGGTGCTCATGCAATCTTGGTTCTCTTCTTGATATGCTCGTCTTCATTCCTCTCATACCATGGTGTATCATCGTATTTCTTTGCAAAAATATGCTTTTCTCACTCCCTAACATTACAATTTTTTGCCCTAATTTCTGATTCTGAGCTTTTAGGTCTGAGGGACCACTGTCAATTTCCAGGCTAAACTCTCTACAAAGATTGTCCTGTTTGAAAATGTTTTCTTTCTTTTTATTTTCAAAATATGGAAAGTTCGTTTAAGAAAATGTCATTCTTTTAGGCTCAATTTTGAAGCAAATCTCAGAACATGAGTTCAGTAAATATCAAGAGAATCAACAACTCTTTTAATCTTTCAAAGTTATACCTCTTTGACAAGTGTCAAAATTGATGAGTTGGTTTCAAGTTAGCTCCCTTAAGTTTCTAAGGTTTCAATCATCGAAATGTCATCTCTTCTTAGGTCCTTGTTAACCTTATGACATGTCCCTCTTCTTTGGCTTGGCATTTTAATCGGATGCGGACAAAATGACACAACCAACATAATCAATTACTAGACTTTCTAGAACACTTCTATTTCGATTCTCTGAAATCTTTCATTTGTTCAAGCTTTATAGACTTCCTTTAACAAAGCTAGTGCAGGGACATCAGTCTAAACCTAAAATTCCAGCGTGCTTGTGTGATGTTGACTATAACAAGTGTTCCCCAATTACCTTAATCCATTGTATATACCTTATAATCGCCCTCATTAGGCTACCTGAAGGGTTCGACTTATCACAAGATCTTTGACTTGATAATTACAGTGGAGCAAACACCGAACTGCCGAGTATCTGAATAACGTCATGGTTGGAATACAATCTATTCAGAAAGTCAGGGATTTTGATTTTCCTCTATAACCAACTGTTTTAATGGAATAGCTCAGCTTTATTGTGTAATCTATTGTAATAATTTATTATTTTTTTTAGTATTCAGATTTAAAATTTCTTAAGCTCATCGAGAAGAACCTGTTATATTCTAGGTGTCCTTGATTGTCAGGAAATCTCACATTTAGAGTTTAGTTCCCAAACAACTGACCTAAACTAAATTCATCTATTCCACTATTCTATTTGTGAAGATTAGGATCATCACTGAACGTCTTCAATAGAAGTGTAGTCTAGGCTATTTTTACAATGTCATACACAAGAGATGCCCTATGTTATCTGCTCCTATTCATACATGAATGCCAAGCCTCTTAATTGTTTCCTCATGAGAGGAGAAGGCTATAGTGGTCCTTGCAAGAGAAGGGTATGGGGTGGTTTATTTCTATAGTATGATCAAGGGGTCCTTGTTTTGCTGGGATTCAATCTTGTCATTTGTCAAAGATATACAACCTCAATTATTAAAGAGCTTTTAATTAAGATGATATTCAAGGAATTTCAAGATTAAAATTTGCTCATTGCTCATTTCCTAAGAAGGAAACATTTTACTTAAAATGTTCAAACATCAAGTAACTTACAAACATTAAACACAGGAAAAAGAAAAACAAGCTCAAACAAGACAATATACGAGTGCGTCGAAAATTTGTAGTGGCTACGTTGGTTTTCCGCGTTTTGCATCAGAATGCCCCATTATTCATCAAATATCCATGCCCCTAAATTGATTAAATTATAAACCTTGTGCTTCAGTGCCCCACAATTCTCAATGAGGTGCCTTGATCTTCACATGGCGATTGCATCACGTCCATAGCTTTCAATTTTTTCTAGGAATGAATGAGGTGACTTCATCTTACCTCAAAAATTTTACCACAAGACTCTCCGCGAGTTACTCTCGGGATTTGTGAATAGTGCACATGTTGAGATGCAATGTATACCATATAATGCACAATGTGTATATATTAATGCAAAGATGCAAAGATGAACATGCAAATGCAAAGATGCAAAAAATAGGAGTACAAAATGTGAGATGCAAATACAATAAGGAATTGACCCCAAAATAATTGTTACCTCAACCGGTAGATATCTGGCTCCTCTCCTTGGTAGTTAGACTCCCTCTTGACGTTACTCAATCTACGTGGAGCATCTTCAAAATCCTACCGATCCAGTAAAAGGACCTTCTAAATGATCAGTTATTTAGAGATCAATACCTTTGAATGATATGTCATGTTCATGCAAAAATGCAATAAGAGCAGATAAAAGGAAACCAATGTTAGTAGAAACAAAACAGAAAGAATCAAGTTAGTTGAAATGATTAGTACATAAATTTAATCTTAGCATAAATAATATGACTCAAAGTTGAGACTGAAAAATAAAACATACAAAGAAAATTAATATTCCTAACTGCATATGTTCTAGTTCTTCTAAGCTATCCACATGGTTCTAGCGTGGTAGGCTTAATAAATTCTTTATATAAGGATGGGTTCTAGCAAAGGGTTCCCAAGTCATCTTTACTACCTGCTAAGGTTGCCCCCGATTCTGGCCCATTACAGACTTATGAATCGGGTTCAGCTCAGGGGATCACACTACTAAAAGCGTACCTCGGATATGATAATCGGATAGGCAACTTAGGGTGCTTTCCAGAGATACTTTGTCAGACCCACACAAGAAAGCCCAATGTTTCTCGTGAGGTGTGAAGTTTCTCTCTACTTAGGTAAACCAGGATTGAGCTCAGGTTTAAAGCTATGATATGAAACAATCCTAAAACTTTTAGAGAAGTGTAAGCATTAATCAGAGAGAAAATATTTTTTTTTGAAATAATATAATGAACCGCATTTACGCTCGGGGGCGAATGTTATCGGTCTCGATAAACATAATGCAGTTTTGAAAAGGATATCGACTTATTTAGTGAATTACCAGTAGTCACCCCTTAGCATGATCACGGGAGATATACTATTAATTCTTTAATAAGTGAACAGTGCCTTAGATTTATAAAAATAATGCGATCAAGGAAAATTTTATTTATCCTATTTAATCTAAAGTAAATTAGGGTTTTTTCTAACTTACGGTGACAAATTATGAAAATTAAAGACCTAAGAGCTTAAATCTAAAACGCAAGCTCTAATATTAATCCTATTTGATTATGTCAATATTAAGAGTCTAATCTAAGTTCAGGGACTAAAAAGTTAAGGTTTAAAGTATAGAGTTCTAAAAGACTTAAAAGAATAAGGACCTAAAATTACAACTTCTAAAGTTAGGGGGCTAATTAAAAATCTAATTAATCTAAGTTATTAAACTTAAAGTTTTTTAGAAAATATTAATTATTAAATAAGTTTAAAATTCGAACAATCGATTCGAGTAATCGAGCACCTATTGCGAAAACTCAACTCGAACTGCTCCCTAATTAAGACTAGTGTGAAATCCTAATTTCTAAGCTTGATTTGAATATTAATTTAATTTAAAACTAAAACTAAGAAATAAAGCTATAACATATCAAAACAAATAATAAACTTAAATAAAATAAAATAAAAACAATAAAAACAATAAAAAAAACATCATAGAATAAAATAAAATAAATAAAATAAGTACAAGAACCTAATTGCATAAATGTTAAATCACCAAACTAAAATTAAACATGCAAAGGGACTAAATTAAAATAAATTAAAAATTAAAGCTTAATTCAAAATAAAATAAAATAAAATGACTAAAATAACAGTAGCTAAATAAAAGTTAGTAACTAAATCAGAAATAAACAGTGACCAAAATGCAAAAGTTAAAATAACAGTAGCTAAATCAGAAATTAACAGTGACTAAATTAAAATAAAACATAACATAATAATAAAAATTCAATAAATTAGAAATGAAAGGTATAGTGACCAAAATGTAAAAATACGATAAAGTTTTGGGGAAAAAACAATTAATAAACCAAAAATATAAACCATGCATATAAGAAAGGTAAAATACTAATTTTGGTCCCTAAAGGTGACCACAATACAAAATGCACGCAAATATCATGGATTTAAAACGAAATTTACCCCTAAATTCCTTCTATAAATAACAAACGTTTTTTTTTTTCATTTTTTGTTTTTTTAAAAAAAAGTAGAGATAGGATTCCTCCTCTCTCTAGGAATCCGGACGGTTACTGGTGGCTGTTGGCCACCAAATTTTCAGTGCTTGTTCGTCTCATCGCGTTGTTCACTGATATGGGCTCCGTTTCGTCAGGGGATGCTCCGATCATTGTGAAATGGCCAAAGACCTCTCGACTTTCCCAGGCTCCGACCTTTGTCGTCTGCCATTAGATCGGGCCCAAATTTTAGTTTGTTGTTCCCCTCCTCGAGACGCTCCTTCTTACCGTTCGGATCGGCTATCCGACCATCCGAACACTGGAAAGGTTCCGACAAAACGGTAAAATGCCCTTTTTCCCTTTTTTGTTATTTTTTATGTTTCAAAAGGTAATAAAATATAAAATAAAACTTAAATACCAAAAAAATCTTTGAATTTTTTCCTACTTTTCTTGATTTTCCAATGGGAATGGAACCCCCACGAAAACCCAAAAAGAAAGAAAAAAAGAAAGGAAAAGCAAAGCCCGAAAATGGAGCCAAATTACAGAGAAAACAAAAGTAAAAAAACTTTTTTTTTTGCATTCAATTTTCGGGGAAAATACCTTCTCTTAGATACATGGGGTTGGGGTATTAATAACCCTAACTACTAAATAGTATATATTTGTTTTTACAAAAGCGATTTTTTTCATTCCACTTTCGGCGAAAAAACGAGTGTAATTGATACATGAGTGGTTGGGCACTTATTCCTGCAGGAAATATGGGATGGTGGGGTGGGTGAAAGATAGTGGTAGGGTATGGTGGATAAAAAATGGTGCTTACAGTAAAAACTTTGGAAATCGCTTTCTTACTTTTCAAAAATTTCATTTTTTGAAAACATTAAATGAGAAACTTTGGAAATCGTTTTCTCATTTTTCAAATTCACGTGAAAATATCTTGCCCGAAGGTCTTACAGATGGCACGAAGAACTTATCATCTTGCTCGAAAGACTGACAGATGACCCGAAGGATTTAATCATCATGCTCGAAAGACTTACTGATGGCCCGAAGGACTTACTAATTTGTGAAATAGTTTACTGGGTAAGAAATTTTGGAAATCGCTTTCTTACTTTTCAAAAATTTCATTTTCTGAAAATACTAAATGAGAAACTTTGGAAATTGCTTTCTCATTTTTCGAAAATCATGTGGAAAACATCTGACCAGAAGGTCTTACGAATGGCCCAAATGACTTATCATCTCACTCCAAAGACTGGCAGATGACCTGAAGGATTTAATCATCATGCTTGAAAGAGTTAGTGATGGCTGGAATGACTTACTAATTTGGGAAATAGTTTACTGTGTAAGAAACTTTGGGAATCACTTTCTTACTTTTCAATAATTTCATTTTCTGAAAATATTAAATGAGAAACTTTGGAAATCGCTTTCTCATTTTTCAAATTCATGTGAAAACATCCTACCCGAAGGTCTTACGGATGGTCGAAGGACTTATCATCTCACTCGAAAGACTTGCAGATGACCCGAAGGATTTAATCATCATGCTCGAAAGACTTACTGATGGCCTGAAGGACTTACTAATTTGGGAAATAGTTTACTGGTAAGAAACTTTGGAAATCACTTTCTTAATTTTCAAAAATTTCAATTTATGAAAAACTAAATGAGAAACTTTGGAAATCGCTTTCTCATTTTTCAAATTCATGTGAAAACATCATACCCGAAGGTCTTACGAACGGTCTGAAGGACTTATCATCTTGCTTGAAATACTTATAGATGACCTGAAGGATTTAATCATCATGCTCGAAAGACTTACTGATGGCTTGAAGGACTTACTAAGTAAGAAACTTTGGAAATCATTTTCTTACTTTTGAAAAATTTCATTTTCAGAAAAGATTTAAATGAGAAACTTTGAAAATCGCATTCTCATTTTTCAAATTCATGTGAAAACATCCTACCCGAAGATCTTACGGATGGCCTAAAGGACGTATCATCTTGCTCGAAAGACTTACAGATGACCCGAATGATTTAATCATCGTGCTTGAAAGACTTACTGATGGATCGAATGACTTAGTAAGTAAGAACCATTGGAAATCGTTTTCTTACTTTTCAAAAATTTCATTTTCAGAAAAGATTTAAATGAGAAACTTTGGAAATCGTTTTCTTATTTTTCAAAATAACTTAATTATTGGGTAACATGCCCCACTTCAAAGTAATACTTCTTCTGTAGATTAGCCCCCTGTTCTTTAGGTTCTGCCTCTATAAACATGATTCCTTGTATTTGAGGTTTGAATTCTACCTTTCACTTGTTAAGATTTTGACATCATGAATCTTCTCTTTTCATTGGAAGGTCTGTAAAAACAATGCGTTTATGTGTGAAACACGTATGCAATTAAATGTGTCAATGTAATTCATTTTCTTTTATGCAAATGATGTTTTCATGAATGCATAAATGTTGATTCAATTTTCATTTGACTCCAAAGTGGAGAACTCGGTCTTCTTCCACTTGATCACTCCTCTCCGAGGTGTTCTCAGGATATCAATGTAGCAACATGTAATTTCAAGCTTGCATCTTTGAAGAGCCATCTGATCATCTTATGACTTTTGCATATTCTTTGGCTCTCATCAGCATTATACTCCCAGAAGAATTGTTTCATGAATTCTTACTGTAGTTAGTAATATGATCTCGATGCCCCTTTCTGTCCTTGGCTCGAATGCGCTATCAGAGTTTTTCTTGGGACTCTACCGTTAATCGATGCTCGACTAGTTTTCCTTACAAGGTAAGTTCTGCTCAAATTCATGTTCTTCCTATGACACTCCAAGTTGTGAGTCTTATTCTCAATGTCTTCTTGGTCTTAATCATATCATCTCAACATGATCTGGATTTCTGTTCAAGCACCAAAGTGGGTATTTTCATGACCCATCCCTAATTGAGTGCCAAAATTTCATCCTTGATTAGTCTCACTCTTGCATTTTACAATGAGCTAGGATATGTTCCCTTTTTTTAAATAAGGTGATCATCTACTTCTCGGCGGGTTACTGACAACGTCACAAAGAAGTGTTACAAGTTTTATCCTCTATCATTTCTGATCTCTCATACTATTTGCTTTCAAGATTGTGGAATACTTCATTATTCTATCATCGCTTATTCTTTTTTCTCCAATAGAGATAGAATAGGCCTCACCTGCTTCAAGGACCTTTCATATTTGAGATTGTCCTGTTTGAAAATATTTTTCTCCTTTCTTTTATTTTAGAAATCAAATAATGAAAGAATTTTGTAAAGTATTACTCCTTAATTCAGGCTCACAATTGAAGCAAACCACAAACATGAGTTTACATAATATCAAAAGAATCAACAACTCTTTTAATATTTTCGAAGTTATAGCTCTTTGACAAGTGTCAAAATTGATGAGTTGGATGGCTTTCCTCTTTTCCAAGGTTTTAGTCATCGAAGATGTCTTTTCTTCATTGGTCATTGTGAACATTATAACATGCCCCTCTTTTTTGGCTTGGTATTTTAACCGGATGAGAACAAAATGACACAACTACCATATTCAATTACTAGACTTTCTAGAATAATTATATTCCAGTTCTCTGAAATACTCCATTTGTTCAAGCTTCACAGACTTCCTTAGCAAAAGTAGTGCAGGGACATCAATCTAAATATAAAATTCATGATTGCTTGTGTGAGGGGTTTACTATAACAGGTGTTCCTCAACTCCCTTAGTCCACTTTACTGAAACTTGTTATTAGATAAATTTAATTTAATTTGTCATTGTTTGGCTAGCTGAATTAGATTTATTGTAATTGCCTTTATTGGGCTAGCTGAAGGGTTCATCTCAACACAAATTCTTTGACTTGAAAATTACAGTGTAGCAAACACCTAATTGCCAAGTACCCGAGCAATGTCATGGTTTGAATGGAATTTATTCATAAAGTCGGGGCTTTTGAGTTTCCTCTATAATCAATTGCTTTAGTGGAATAGCTCATCTTTATTGTATAATCTATAGTAATAATAAGTCTATTAACTTTTTGAGTATTCATTTTAGAATTTCTTAAGCTCATCAAGAAGAACTTGTTATAGTCTTAATGTCTTTGATAGATAAACAATCTCATATTTAGAGTTCAGTTCCCAAACAACTAACCTATACTAAATCCATCCACTCCACCATTTCATTTGTGAAGACTAGGATCATCATTGAACGTCTTCAACAGAAGTGTAGTCTAGTCAGTTTTGCAATGTCATACACAAGAGATGCCCCATGTTGTCCGCTCCTATGCATACTTGAATACCAAGCCTCTTGTTCATTTCCTTATGAGAGAAGAAGGCTATATTGGTCCCTGCAAGAGAAGGGTATGGTGTTCGAATATATCTTCTGGGGTAAGGTCGAGGGTCCTTGTTTTATCAGTTTTCAATCTTGTCACTTTGTCAAATATTTATAACTCTAATCATTTAAAGAGTTTTTAATTCAATTAATATTCGCAGAACTGCAAGATTGCAAATTTGAACCAATGCTCATCATCTTTAAAGTAGCACAAATTTATTTAAATATCCTTACAAAAAAGTTCAGAAATAACAAAAAAAAACAAATTCAAACAAGATACTGCAAATGGAATAAAGCTCCATGATGAATGAAATGATCTCTTCCTAATTAGGATGCCCCATTACTCATCATACGTGTAGGTTCTTAACTGGATATTCAGGGTTGTTAAAAAATAATGCCCCATTTGCTCATTAAAAGAACCATGTCTACAAATCAATCAGATCATGTAACTTGCTCTTCGGTATCCGACAGTTCTTAATGGCATGCCCCAAGCATCATATCCCTGGCTCTCCAATCTTCTCTAGGAATGAATGTGGTGGCCTCAATTTACCTTCAATATTTCTGTCACAATATTCTCCGCAAGTTACCACTTGGATCCATGATTAATACATGTTAAAATGCAATGTATATTATGCAATGTATATTATGCAATGTATGATGTATATACGTGAATGTAAAGAGGCAAAATGCACATACGAATGCAAAAATACATAAATGATAATGTAAAATGTGCTATACAAATGCATGTATATAAAAGGTGTCATTCCAGAGTGACCATCTTAAAACAATTTTCATTGAACACAATGGTTTAGGTATATCAAACAAATTTTACATACAAGGGATAACCTTAACTCCTAACTTCTGTAATTCTTTCAAAAGCTAAGTTAACTTCCACTCATACTCAGGTGTTGAGTTGTCAATCTGCTTTAATTCACTTGTAAAACCAGCTAAATCAATCAAGTTGTGATCCATTTTACTTGCTTTGATTATAATTTCTTTCATGACATCTTCTTTTTCTTTTATCTTATGTGTCAACTCTTGGAGATGTAGACAATGATGTTCATTTTTCCTTACAAGAAAGTCTTGTGGTTACGAAGTTCTCGTGCAATATCTCCATAATCATCTACAATCTTCATCAATGTCTTGTTCCTGGCTCTAGTGGTTTCTAGCTCAGCATCAGTCTCACGCTTGTGGCACTGATATGAAGCTTCCATGTTGGCTATAGCCATATTTAACATCTGATTTTTGGCTTGACATATTCCCAAATCAATAACGGCTGTAATGCGCCTTTCTTCTGTGATCAATAAATCATAAGAGAACTTCTTGGCTCAACCTTCATGCATCTTACAATTCTTTCTCCATTGTTTAACATCGATTTTCAGCTTAGTGACCCATGTTGTCCAGTCTTCTGGGGTATTTCCTATACCAGCATTTTTAAAGGGTTAACTGACCCTTTGAAAACCATCACGCATAGCTTCCATCTCTCTATTCAGTTTATCACTTTCACTTCTCAAATGACGAACTTTAACTTCGTACTTTAGCAAATCTTCTTCCTCCTGGATGTCCCCCCACTAATACCCTTAACTTTGAATACTTTTGGTTCTAACTTAACATGACAATCAGTTACCAAACTAGGCCAATCTTTCATCTTGGACTCCAATATTCCATGATCCAAAAGATGTTGGACTCGATGCTTGAAGGTGGTGCAATTCTCAATGGAATTTCCTTGAGCTCCGGCATGATATCCACAACGAACATTGATGTCATACCAATTTAGATATGGAGGTTGCCAAGATTTTACATAATACGAGGCCACGTCTCAGGCTTCTAAAAGCTTATCATACAACTCCTTATATGATATAAGGATATAATCAAAATGAGGACCATTTCTGAATTTGATTGAATTGGAGTCTACAGGTTTATTCCCTCTGACGTTGGAAGTAGGCTCTCATGCACCAACGAGTTCTGATTGCATTATTTCTTTTCATCTTTCTAAACTTCCACCGTTGTCACCATTTCCTTGGTGTCTCCCAAAAACTTGTTGATACAAATGATGATTGTACTTGATTTTTTAGATCGGCTAGAATCAACTCGTTCTAAAGTAATCCCTTGTGTATTTGACACCGCTGGATTATTTTAATCGATCTCTTTCTTTCTTTTTGCAGAAGTCTCTTTTCCTTTGGCCAAAGAATTTATTTCTATCCATCATCTTGGACATTTTCTCCCTCATGTCTCTTATCTCCTTTTGCTCTTTGTCGGACATACGATATTTGGGTGCACAACTATCCACTATTCTCGGAGATTCCTCAAGATGCCATTCCCTAGCTATGTTATAGTCTACTTGATCATGAAACCCTTTGTCCATCATGAAAACCATTTAGTCTGATTACCACTCACAAATCAAAACCTATGAAAAATGTTATGATCATGCGATGTAAGTATAAAATAAACAACACAAAAAATAAATTAATACAAATAAGATAACAAAGTGACAATAATTATTATAAAATCAATAATAACAAAATAAATTAATTAATGAGCTAATGCGAAACAAAAATGAAAATGCAAATGCACAAGTCATTAATTCTAAAAGCGACCACCATAGAACAACCTTCATCAGACCATAAGTGCTCCTTACACTAGACAATCGAGCTTTATTTTCTTCATTTACTCGATCTAGGCCTTCCTCACGATTTGTTGTTTGTCTTTATAGTTGTTGGACTTCTCAAAAATGTTGATTCACATTTCTTCATTTTACTTCCCTTACTATGATTGTCTGATCTCTAGACTTCCTTTTTATGGGATTCTCCAAGAGGAAGGTGGCCTTAATATCTTGCGAAGGATCTTCTCATTCTTGATTGAATTATCAACTGGCTATTTGATACCATTTTGTCCTTTGTTCATTTGACATGATTATTCGATTGACTTTGAGCTTCTCTCTCGTCAATCAACTTTGTTTGTAAGTTGTCGCCCTTACGGAGTTGAGTATCTAGTTATGAAACTCTTATGTCGATATGAAATCCTTCTGATTTGAGCAATCACTTGTGACTTAACACCTTGTTTGATTATGATGTGAAAATGCAAATGCAATCATAAGGCAGATAAAAATACGATAAAATAAAAGAATTTGAAATATCACTTAACCAAAAAGCAGAAGAAATATTTACGAAATGAAAAGATCCTACCAACATGGTATATACCCTGACAGTTCTACACATCATGTTTTCTACCCCATGCTTCATTCAACATATAAATCCTAACCTCGTGTCATCTAGTTCACATGCTTGTTTGAAAAAAATGAACCTAATCACAAACTCTTCTAATTCTCATGCTTTTTGCCAAATAAATAAATAGATTCAAGGAAAAGGTTAGAGTGAGTTTCCCCTTTTTGACTTTTGAAGAACCACAGACAGAGATTCAATATGAAACACACAGAAATTCGGTATTACTAACAGGGTCCTCGAATTGTCCATTGCTGGTGCCCCCTTGGACCTGCCAGACCCTCAATCCTCGCCCATTATAGGTTTAAATGGGTCGAGTTTAATTCGACAGGATGCATTTCCCTATGTCCATGAGAGGAAATTTAATGTTTCGCTTGTAAACACAAGGCATATGTACCCCAGAGGTTACTTGCCCATGAGGAGAAAAATAATTTTTCTCACGTAAGCGTAGCGTTCACCCCTACCTAATGGGATATAGCACAGTAAGAAGGCTCTAAATACTCGAACAATTATAGTGTGAATGGGAATAAACTCACAATCCTTTACCTCGATACAAAAACCAACAGACTAAAACAAAAGTAAAAATCTGAAACAAATAAATCACACGTTAGTACAACTAATAAATAAAAATATATATGATGCTACGCAAACAAAACCTGAGGATCAAAATTTAAATGTCATTCAAATTTACCATTTTCAACTACAAAGATGACATATAATAGATTACGGACTGACCCTCTAAGGTCCCCAGCGGAGTCGCCAAGTTGTCGGAACGGTCCTTAAGCTTTTTAAGGCTATGGCTGGGAGCGATCCATCTTAATCTTGGGGAAAAGGTTGGGTTTCAAAATAAAACAAATAAATATTTTCGGAGTCGCCATTAACCTTTTGGTTAGGTAGGTCGAATACCTAAAAATACCTTTTAAAATAATTTTTAAAAAAAATTAATTTTAAAAGATAAAAAATGATCCGCGTTTAACCAGAAATTCGTTTTGAAAAGAGTTCGGGAGTCGATTACGTGTGGGGAAGGATTAGCACCCCCACAACGCCCGAAATCGGTACCTAAGCGATTATATGTCATCTAAATATTGAAATTGGCAAATTCGAATAACATTTAAATTATGATCATTTTTTAGAAAAATATCAGGGTTGTTATTTTGCAAGAATAATTCTCGAAATACCTTCCTTGTCAGTTAAAGGGGCACTTCTATGGATTCTCCATACAAAATAATATTGCCCAAGCTTTAGATAGAATACATATATTAAATATATTAAAACAAATATTATTTCATTCGAATATAAAATGCATTATCTTGTTCGAACAATTCTTGGAAACACACTCTTTGTCAGTTAAGGCACATTTCTATAAATTCCTCGAGTAAAATAGTATTTGAAAATATTACAACTAGCGGGAATTTAACAAATATATAAATGATGGACCAAAATAATAGAAATGTTAACTTTAGGGATTAAAATATACAACCAACAAAAAATAAAGGCAACCATTGTAGATATTTCACAATCCAAGCACTAAAATCGTAAATACACCAACTTTAATCATTCAAGACCAAAATTAAAATTATTGAAGTAAGGCACTCGAATTAAAAATAATCACAAAGATAAAATAATAAGCATAAAGTGACTAAAATGAAATAAAACTAAAAATAATAACCACCAAATCATAATCAATTGGTGACTAAAATGCATAAATTAAAGATTTCATATTCTAAACTATAATAGAATAACAAACATAATCAATCAGTGGATAAAATGAATAAAAATAAAAATCAATGATTAAATTCAAATAAACTAAAATAATAAAAATGACTAAATTAAACTAATCACAAATTATAACACAAAATTAAAGAAATAAAATAAACAGATGACTAATGACTGAAATGGGAAAACACGCATAAACTAGAGGGACCTGGGGAAAATAAACCAAAAAGTTAGTGCTGAGAAATAAAAAGGTAAAATCACTAAATCAGTCCCTAAATATTAAAAAAAATTAAACAATCACTACGCATGACTAAAATGCAAAACACGCATAAAGGTATAGGGACCAAACAACAATTAAACCAAAAATATATAACATGAATCAGAAAAGGGTAAACTACAAAAATGATCCCTACAGGTGACCATTTTGCAAAAACACGGCAAACTTAGAGGGACCTAAGTGCAATTTCCCCTAAAGTTTTCTATAAATATCAACCTTTTTCTTTTTTTTATTATTATTATTTTTATTTTTAATCTTTTAAATTATTTTTAGAGAGAGAGAGTCTCCATTTTCTCTAAAAAATCTGTAGGTCATCGTTCGACGACTGTAGCCGTCATCGGTGGCCGTTGGCCACCAAATTCCAATTGGAGATCCATCTCGACCTCAATGTCTCCGATTTGGGATTGGTTTCGCGAGAATCGACTCCAATATCCACGAATCTAGCCGAAACCTTTCAGTTTTCCTCTCTCCGATCCGTCGACGTCTGCTCTTGGATCGCCGTCATTTTGGAGTATGTTGCTCATCATTTGTTCCTCCACATCTTCACCATTCGGGTACTCGATCGAATCCCATAACTTTGGCAATGTACCTTGGCCGAAGGTAGAACTCCTCTCATTTTTTATTTCTTTTTTTTGTTCGTTCTTGGTTTTGCATTGTTTCATAAGAAAAAAAAAGTTGCTTTTGTATCAAAATAGGAAAAGGAATTAAAAACATTGCTTGAACTTTTTTTGTTGTTTTAATTCTTTTCTTTTGAAAAATCCCAAAAGGGAAATTTTACATTACTTCCTTCAAATCTAGTTCCCCCTCCTCTTTACATTGTTTGGAAACCGAGGGCCCCTATTTTTCCCGAGACCCTCTTTTCCATTTTTTTCTCAAAATCGAATACCCCTACCGAAAAAAAACCCCCTATTATCTCTCCAAATCCCCCAAATCAAAGACCCCTCTCGTTGTTACTAGAAAAATCGAGACCTTCTCTCTGCTCAAAACCAAAATCGAGAGCCCCTGTTTTTTCTGAGACCCACTATCCTCATTTTCGTTCGATGCCTCCTCTCTCTATTACATGTTAGAATAAATAAAAATGGATGATTTGTTAGATTGTTGCAGTGGTTGATTGACAAGGAATGGTGGCGTATTGCAAGGTATAGGTGTTGGTAGTGATACAGGATGACAGGGCATGGGGCTTCACGTGGGTGATGTGATTGCACAGTGATGGCTGGCAGCAGTAACTGGGTCCGGGTCTAGTCGATTGAAATGGGTCGAGTTTGGGGTTGTTTTTTGTAAACCTTGTAATTTGGGTCTGATAGGGCCTGTTTGTAATTTGGACCCAGGTGGGCTCATTGTACTGGTCTGCAAAGGAAATAAACATTAATAATAATAATAATAATAACAACAACAACAAGTCTGGACAAAAACGGGTGTCGACGGAACGAATTGTGATAGCTATTAACGGCATATCGTTTCTCTTTTCACGAAAAGTTATAATTATGATAGATCAAGTGTTGTTTGGTATCAAAATACTTTGTCTCCATGAGAAGGTAGAACAAAAAGAAATAAAGTTCACAAGATGCTTTAACCTACCATAAGTATGAGCCCAACAATTTGTACTTTCACATTAATAATAAAAAGATTTATTTTCTTACTTTTTTTATCACTTTTGTCATTTTATAATGCTGCTTATGTTGAGTTTAAATACTATATCTCGTCCAGGTCCTCAATCTTGATCATGACTATATATATATTTATTATCGCGATCACATTTGTTAAAGTGGTATTTATTTTTCTGTTATAAGATGCCATATTCGCTTCAAGGAATTAAGTATAGTTAGTAGGACAAGACTTTTGATTTTTCATTGATTGTTTATTATTTTATTCAGCTACAAGAAGATAAAATATTAATTTATTTCATCTTTTCCACTTAAATTGTCTCTTATTAACTTGTTTTTATCAACAAAAAAAAATTAACTTTAACTTATTATTATTTAAAATTTATTATTCATAAAATTATAAAAAAATATTTTAGAAACATTTAATCAAGTAATATTGAAAGTATATATTTAATGAAATTTTAAATTTTTTAAAAATAATTAAAATAACCATAGTTAAAAATTTAAAAATTTGACATTCAAAAATTTAATAAAAGACATTTTTTTATGAGACGGAAACATTATAATCTTTTCTAAAACTCTTTTTAAGATATTGCGTATAAAAGACGACATTATTAGTAAGAATATTGAAGTATGCAAAACAAATATATATTCATCTGTAATATCCTAACTACATAAATTTCAATTAAGAAATAATTCTATATACATTGGACATTGGACATTATATAAACAGAATTACTGGAAATTAAAATTATTAAACTCTTCTTGGATAACAAATAAATGGTTTGAATACATATAATAGGATAACGTATAAATGATTTGAATAGGTTTTATTAAATGATAAGTATGAATATAATTTTTAATAGTCTGAATAATTATAAGATAATATATTTTTAGAATTCTTTTTAATATATTGAGAACACACATCATGTAGACATTGTTGGTCGAATTCAAAATCTCAATGAAAAATCAATATGTTCTTTTACCATTAAGTCCACTTGATGAATTCTTTTCAAAATTTTCAAAAACTTCTTTGACAACATATCACGGTATTTTTAAATACAAATTCGAATCAAATATTTATAACAATATTTAATATATACATTATACTCCTCTTTCAGATTTTAATTTATTTAATAATAATAATAAATAAATAAATATAATTTATAATAAATTTAGACTAATTTCTTTAATAAACTCGTCAAACATTAATTTCATTTACATATTTTATGTTAGGTACAGTGATCTATGTTTATCATATGTCACAAATTTACTTTGTAATTTCGAATGAAAAACATATAGTAGAGAATAATAAGGAAACATACCAGACTGCCTCTCTCGTTCTTTATTGACCCGTGCAACAATTTGGATGAGAATGTTGTCCATGATAAATATAATCTTCGATATAAATGAATATTTTAAATAGTTCATACTGATGATTTGTTGTGAAAAAGGAAAATCAGAATAAGAATAAAAGGAAATTTTGTATTGTTATCTTAATATTAAGCCTTTATAAATCTTTCCAACCCTTATATTTATAGTTATAAGGAATAGATGTAATATATAAATTGCTAATAAATATCGAATAACTGATAATAATAATAATATATATATCATAATGTTATCTTATATATAAAGATAGATATTGATGTACATAAATATTCATAACAAAACACGAACTTTATGACCTCAACGGTAAAGGAATTGATATTATTTCTTAAGGTCTCTGGTTTGGACACCACAAATACTAGGGATGTGAACGTCTAATGTCAAATAGTTTAAAATTATTTTTGAAGAGATACTACATTGTATTTACCCAGAATAATCAATAACAAAATTATTAAGTTTTTTAGACTTATTTTTATATTTTTATTTTCTCCTTTTAAAATTCTATTCAATTAAAATATAGAAAAAAAAAGTTCTGATATTTGTTTGAAAAATTGACATTTTTTTTCAAAGTTCTTTTCAATTTTTAAAGGTTTTCTCTTTATTTCTAATGATTTTCTGGCGTGATACATTTCTAGAGTTTGTAGTTCTATGTTAATCTTAAACACTTGTTGCGGATTAGCCATATACTTTCTTGAAACCCCGACGAATTCAGATCCCATTCAACTAAAATTAATGAAAAATCGTAAACACTTGAAGATTAACCAAAGAATTTCTTAACAACAATTCCCATACGAACTAAATTCAGCAAGGCAGGCAAAAAATAACAGAGCTGCAAAAGCCTTGGCAAGTATAAATTCCCAAAAAGACGATAGTTTTGAAGGGGGATGAAAAGGGTATTCTTGCAGATTATTGAGACTCAAAACGCAGTTTTATTCAAAATCCAGTTAGGATTTAAAATGCAGATCCACTGCCCTTTGTCTTCCCAAGCATCACATCTTTAGCTTCGTTGATTTTCGAGGCAAGGTAATGGCTACCACCTGCATCGGGATGGTTCGCAACCATTACTTTCCTATGCGCTTCCTTCACCTTGTCCGGTGTCGCATTCTCCCTGTTAAAAGCATACACTATGAGTCAATGTGCCTTTCATGTATGCTCAAGAATCTGAAATCATTATACTAGCTCCCAGATAGACATTACCAATATATCACATATTCATAATATATGATTGTTTTACGATCAATGTTGAATAATCCGAAATCCCCAATATTTTTGGGGATGAAGTTCATAAATGCATCATTCATGTATGCTCAAGAATCCAAAAGCATAACATTAGCTCTTAGATGTATATTAACAATATATAATAGATCCATAATATAAAATTGCCTTACTTCAGGATAGAAGTGGAACAAAGCTTACCGAACACCAAGGATCAATGCGGCTTCTCTTCTCGTCATCGTAGGTTGAAAACCACCATCGTAAAATTTCCGTACTCTAGGTTTTGGTGGTCTTGTCTTAAATGCTTGCCAAGCCAGGATTCCATATCTACCGGCAAGAGCTGCTGTAGCAACAGCAAATCCAGCCAAAAATGGTGTAGCCTGATGAACGTCTAGAAATTCATTAATTAAAAGGCTATAATATATAGTATTTAATTGGTTTAAACAACAAAAGAAACAATTGATCCTCCATTGCAGCTAAATTTTAGTTCAACAGGTTATCACTCAGAATAAGCAGTTCCTGAAAGTCGCATTGTGTTCTACTAAGTTTTCATCTATGTTTTCCATATTCTTCATTTTGCCTAAAATATTCAGGTCACAAACCCGTATCTGATGCTCACCGCTCAAGTCCAGGTAACACAGCTTTTCAATGCCAACAAGCTATTAACTCCTCCATAAGTCATCTTTTTACTAATTCTTGAAGGCTCACGCACAGCTCTGATAGAACTGACCAAAAGCCATAAAAGAAAAGTTGCCTTCACTCTTCATTTTTTGTTAAGTATCCGTGTCCAATGCATATTTAGATATGAGCATGAGGATATGATCCTCCAAATACATGAAAAACTTTAAATATACATATATACACCCATACCAAACACATTTTCATTTTTAGCACTCACACATATTCAAGAGTCATAGCATAACCAAGAGACCTAAACTTCTTAGCATGAAATTGAAAAATTGACAATGAAAATAAAATCTCTCTCATGTACTTCAAAACATAAGCTGAGACTGAACCTTCCCTTCATTCTTTCTCACATGTACTACAACAGCCAAATCCCAACATCGTTAATCAAATGGCACACTTCTATCCTACAATCAAAGCGGCTTTTGCCTGAATATAGATTTCATCAGCATTGGATTCGTGAAAATGTTTTGAACTATGGATAAAACAAATGATTATCTTGCAACCTATGCTATTCCAAATCCAAAGTGAGCAAGAGTGTTGGAAACATGTATTGTTTCAACATGGATGATAAGCTCAATTATTCGAAGTTATATATATATATATTGCATCCCGTCTTTCGTACCCATATACTTGTATAAGAAAAGTAAAGAGTGAGAGAAACAAAGTACACAAACTAGGAAAATCTCCGTATGCTTAAAACTTAGAAATCAAAAAGGTCCATTGTGCTATCTTCAGAACAAAAAAACAACTTAAACCCTACAATTTCACCCAAAATAAAACATAACAAAAAAATAGCATTACACCAATCTTTTCTCACTGAGCTAATCCTTTCTTTAAGGTAAATTGAGCTAAATCATTTCAATCAACAAGAAAACTGAACAATAACATTTTCTATTGAAAAAAGAAATCATTTATGTTAGGAAGCTACATAGCATCCATAGTGAAATATAATTCCTTAAAACGGTGAAATTTATGAACTTGCATAACCAAAATTCAAGATTTAATTAGATACAAAAAAATACGCGCGAAGAAAGTTCAAATAAAAACTAAAAAATGGCAAAAAGAAAATATAAACCACAGGAAAATGGGAAAATAAATACGAAAATTGAAATGGTATAAGAAAAGGAATACTATGAGATTTAGAATTTACCATTTCTTTTATGGGATCTCGGTTCAACCTCAATAATCAAAAGACTTCCAAATTTCATTAAACAAACAGGGAAAAATTGTAGAATCCAGCTTCGGCTTCCAGCTTCCAGCTTCCAGCTTCTGTCGTGAAACCAGACAACGAGTTTTTGTTTTGATACTTGAGCTTTAGGATTGTTTTATATCGGCTACACTCTTAACCTTTTTAATAGTTGAAGTCAGCCCATCCAGTCTGAACTTTGTGAAATGTGGCCATTACAAAAACAAATGTGGTAAACAACAGTGTTGATATCTTATTTTTTAGCCTGCTGGATTTTACTCACTTATTTTAAAAACGTTTGGTTTTGATCACTTTTATTTTTGGTCTTCTTATTTTGGTCACTGAGCCGTTAACTCCCGTTATTTTACTAACGTGCCACATTAATAAAAGTAGTTAAATTTTAATTCAATTGTTGAATTTTAGACGAAATATTAATTTGACCTTAAATTTTATATAAAATATTAATCCAACACTTAAACTTTATATAGAATATCAAATTGATCAATGAATACAGTTAAAGTTCATGTCACTGGCCGCTACTCATCACATTTGTTGGTCACCATCGGTTGTTCATTATCACTGGTCACTATCGACCGTCAGCATCTATGACTATTGGATCTCAAAATTGTCACATCCCAAAATTTTGGGGTTGAATTTTTCTTAATGGTAAGGGATTAAATTGCAAAAAATTAAAGATTAGGTTGCAAATTAAAAAAAGAATTAAAAAAATAAAAGACTAGTTTAAATACGGGAAGAAAATTAAGAACATTTTGAGTAATTATATCATTTTTAGGTATGGATTTAAACCCCCCCCCCAACTTACTTGGAACTTCAAAATTTTTCTCTCTTTTTCCCCTTTTGTTCTTTTTTCCACCAAGAAGCTTTCATCGTTGTTTTGTCGTTGTCCAGACCTTTGATTCTGAAACCACCAGTGTCATTGTATTCCTGAGGTTTTTTTGAGTCGATCGATGTTCGAGTTACAATCGGTGATCTTGGCGTGAGGTGAGGTGAGAAGATTGAAGTTTCAGGCGTTCGTGTTTCGACATTTTCGTCATTCTCTATCATGAAACAACACTGGTATGTGACTCAAAATCCCCTAAAATTAAATTCTAGAGTTTTCGGTGGCCACCCAACCACCGTTGTCTGTTGTACACGCCCATGTGTCGCTCCCTACGCATAGGGTTTCGTTTAGGAGCTTCTAAAAGACCGGTCTGGATCGGTTCAAACATTTTGAACCAGACTAGACCACTCGAGCTGAGTCGCACCTGAATCGAGGTGAATCGTCTGAGTCGTTGATCGAGTCAATCGAGCTGTTAACCGAGCTAACTCGAGCTGTGAGTCAAGCTAAGCCATCCAACCGAGTAAGTCGTTGACCGATCGTTGAGCAGCGTTAACTAGGCATTGACTTTTTCGGGGCCACTTATCTTGATTTTTTTGATGTTTTGAATATATTTTTGGGGTTCGCTTTACGAAATTCAAACATGATAAGTTGTTTTTCATCATTTTATCTCTCGATTCGATCTGTTTTTCATGTTTAAGTTATGTTTCTGATGCAAATCATTTTCACATGTATTTGAGATATTATGGGACATCAAAATCAAGTGTGCGAGTGATTGAATGGAGTTTAATTGGTCGATCGATGTGGCTCAAAAACTGAGGTAATACATTACTACTTTTTGCATGCTCTACGAAACATGTCGGTATGAGTTATTGCATGAATGATTATTATTCTGTAAAAAGTTAGTAAATTTAATAAAAACTCAGATGATTCGAATAAGGAATTGGAAGATCGATAGGAAATAAATTCCAAGTTCAGTGATTAATAGTAAATTAATTGACCCCAAGATTCGTAAATTCTGAATATTTTCTTTAAAGGTTAAATGCCGAGAATACTTGGATAAGATATTACGAAAATATCCTTATGTTATAAAAAGAATAGGATTGTCACTGAAAGAAGAAAATAACCCTGAAAAGTCATACTTGATCCGATAAAACTATCGTTTCACCTGTTAAATACTCGATCATTTTAAAGAAAACCTAATAATAAATTTTTTCCACCGAGATGGAAAACACATACTTAGAATTTATGATTTTTTTAGCAAACACATGGAGACTAAATTATCGAAAGTGTCATTTTCATCTAAATCATTCAAAATGGTTGGATTATATGGAAAGACTGAATTGAATGAAATGAATAAAGTACTCTTGAGATGAAAAATGGATGTAGATCTTCCCTGATAGTGGAAATGACCTAAGAATTCATTCTTGTCTTATTTAGAACTATGAATTTATAGATTAAATTCATGATCTAATTGGGAAATTCTAATAATCGGTTCTTAGCCTTAAAGATCACTATATATTCAGATACTATGATTTCAGAATAAATATTAGAAGACCAATTTAACGAAAGTACCATATGAATCCAAATTGTTTGAGATGAGCAAAATTCTCTTGAACTCCGAAATGACTAGGATAACCTCGAGTATTAAAATGACCTAAATACCCTTATGACCTAGAAATAAGCGGATGTCATTGAATAAACTCTGGAAACACCTATAAACCTAATTGTTGTATTGTCTCTAAAGGTATTGGATCACGACCCAAGCGTGTTGATCATTATGGATACGGTTGAAATAAAACAAAATAATATCATCGAAATACATGTCCGTTCCCTCAATATCCGTTTCAATAGTGATTAGATGGTGATCAATTCAACTAGTGCAATCAATATTAAGAAGTGAATATTCTAAAGGATATTAATATGAATAATTAATGAGTATCGCAGTAATGGGAACTGTTTAATTTGTTTGACCCAAAATCCAGATAATTTGATATAAATCTCGAATACTATAAATTACTATTTTACCCTTATTGGGTTAAATTACTAAGAATTCTTCAGGAATCTAAATTTCTAAAATGTCCTTAATAGTCTGAATTATGAAATTACTCCTTTTATATCTGAATCTAAATTTAATTTTGATGCAAATATTCCTAAATATCTTCATGTGGTATTTTAATCCTAAACATTCATTAAGTAAAAATTTCTAAAGGTATGATGAAATCACGTAGCAATAGAACCCCTTTTAATAGGAACCTCGTTTTTTAAATACAATCAACTTGCAGAAGTCATATTTCTTTTCCTGATAATTACCTAGTGCCTCCGAAAAATATATTTATTCTCTAGTATGTTCCTTACCCACATAAATATCTTCT